ATATAAATAAATATTATGTTTAAATATGTAATCATATTTAAAATGTATATAATAAACATTTAAATTATATTTTAGATTTATAATAAATAATATATATTATAGCAAAATATTATTTTTTGTTGATTATTTATTTTAAAGTATTAAAATTTAATTCATAAATAATTATATTAAATAAAAATCGAATTAATTAAAAAAATAATTTTTTTAAATCTCTCATTATCTTATGTAATTTTACATAAATAAAAAATATATTCACAGTATAATTTTTTTTTTCACACACTATCATTCAACTGTAAACTATCATATATGATAACAGATAAAGAAAACAATCAAATACAACAATTTTATTGATATTTATGATAATTATTTTAAAAAGATAAGTACCTTAAAAGATATATAAAGATATTCAGTTTTAAACTGTCAGTAGATGATATCATATCAAAATATTTTTCTCCTAGAATTTTGAATTTATTGTTACTGACAGGAAAAAAACACACTTAATATCTGCTTTGCAAGTAATTAATTTTATGAACATTTAATTATGAGTAATAGTTCCATAGTAAAATAAACAATAAAATGAAAGTGTAACTGAAAACTAAATCAGAGATTCTAAGGTGGGGAGAAAGGTAGTTTTGAGAGTGAGAGATGAGAAGCAAAACCAATGCAGAACCTGCAACTACTAAAAAGATAAATAAAAAGTACATATAATAATATAAATTATAAGAATAGAACTGATAAAAGAAATTATAAGAATAGAAGGCAAAAAACGGTTACTAAAAGATATCCTTTTTTATTATTAATAAAAAATAAAATTAAAAGAACGGTTACTAAAAGATACCCTTTATCCAATGGCACAGGTGCCATAAATACACATGGAATACTAAGGTTGGTCACTCATAAGTTCTAATCATCAGGAACAAGAAGGAAAACATGGCAGAAGAAATTACCACTGAAGCAGTGTCTTCGTCAATGGCTAAAGAAATGGAAACAAAAAGAAATATCAACGACTGGCTTCCCATCACAAAGTCTCGTAATGCAAAGTGGTGGTATTCTGCTTTCCACAATGTCACTGCTGTTGTTGGAGCTGGAGTGTTGGGTTTCCCCTACGCTATGTCTGAGCTTGGATGGTAATTTCTTCATCATTTTTTTTTATTATTATAAGAATATACTAAAAAGTTTACAATAATGTTTGTTTTTTGTGTGATAGGGGTCCTGGCATTGTAATATTGCTCCTTTCGTGGATTTGCACTTTTTACACTGCATGGCAAATGATTGAGATGCACGAGCCTGAACCGGGGAAGGGAAAGAGGTTTGATAGG